GCGAACTTTTGAACGAAAGAACTTTTGCATTGACCTAATCTTATATATAAAGCTGAATGTCTGTTTGTCTGTCAGTATGTCTGTCTGTATGTCTGTCTGTATGTCTGTCTGTGTGTACGTATGTTCCAAATAGAAAATTCCATTTCTGAACCGATCCGGACCAAACTTGGCAAACATACACTTCGGGCCCCGGCCGGTGTCATAGGCTACTTTTCGTCATCGATCGATATCGATTTTTTGCAGAGTTCACCTACGGGGCTGGGAGTTGGCACAGGGAGGTAATCGAGCATGGGGATTCCGAATACAATATTAGTTTTCGGGATTATCGATTACTTTTATCGATTTTATCGATTTTTTGCAAAGTTTGAGCTACGGGGCTGGGAGTTTGCGCGGGGGGGGGGGGGTAATCGAGCATGGGGATCCTGAATACAGTATTAGTTCTCGGGATTATTGATTACTTTTATCGATTTTATCGAATTTTTGCAAAGTTTGAACTACGGGGCTGGGAGTTTGCACAGGGGGGTAATCGAGCATGGGGATTCCGAATATAATATTAATTTTTGAAATCGTCCATTACTTTTATCGATTTTGATTTTTTTGTAAATTTTGATCTGCCGTTCTGGGAATGCTGATTACGAATACAATATTAGTTTGGCGCTAATCGGCTAATCGTGCCCCAAAATTTTTTTGTCCTAGAGCCTACTCAGATTAGTGTATAAGGGTTATCTTACATGCTGATTACAGATATCACACTTTCGTCGCAGAAAGTCTCCCCATGTGGGTGCGATAGGTGTACGGTAGGAAGTCAAAATCATGAATTCTGCTGGAGTTCGGTTCAGAGAACTTATTCGACATGCTGATTACGAATTTCATACTCTCTCTGTATATTGGGACCTCTTCATAGAGTAAGGGTGATTATTTACGGTGTGGGGTCGAAAACATAGATTCGCTTCAAACTTCGTCTAGGGTGGTCATTTAGCGCGCTGAACATAAATATCATGTTGATTTCGCAGGACGCTGCATTTTCTTGGGTTACGGTGGGTGTAGATGGGTCGAAGTTCCAGATTTGCCCAAAAGCTTACCTGTAACGGTTCACAAGTTTACTGCTTATGAATATGAAACTTGCTCGCTGTCATAACGCATTAGTAAAGTTGTGTGAGTTGCAGGATTTGAATGGACAGGGCCAATTCCCAAATATTCATGAAATGGGGAAACGGTCGTTTTGCATGGCGGTCTCCAGCGCTATCCTGATAACCTGTCCCAACGTGTAACGCACGCGGCAAATCTCCCTCCCCCTGATTTGCTCAGGCAAAAGCCGCCAAGGGTGTATCGCACGCGACAAATCTCCCTCCCCCTATTTCTGCTTAGGCAAAAGCCGCCGAAGGATGTATCGCGCGCGGCAGTGATCTTATAAGGAAAGCATTACGGTCGTGGGAAACTTTTATACCACACGAATTGCCTTTATCGCGGGGATTGAGCACGATATTCTTTGAACAGCACTTTAGGTAATTCCCTGCCAAGGTTTCAGGCAGGTTTATGATTTTTACCCGCTGCCACGCGATGACTATGATATTGTCATCAGCGGCTCAAATAACCCCCATATACCGAGTTTGAGCAAGATCCGTCACAAAAACATTTTGGGGTCCGGATAGCCGAATAACGCCATCAGTTTTTAGAATTATCCTTACTTTTACCGATTTTATTGTTTTTTTTTGTGCAAAGTTTGAGCTACGGGGCTGGGGGGTTGGTGAGGAAGGTAGGTGAGCGTACTGATTACTCACGCAGCGGGAATAGGGAATGTAGAAGTGGGCACAGGTAAAGGGTACAAGGATAGAAATGGAACCTTTATCGTTTTTGACAGGGCCGGGCGGAGCCGGGTGAGCCAGCTAGTAACTTACATAATCATCATTGAAAACGGACAGCATATTCATGATTGCTGCCAAATGAATCTACTGGCAAACTTCAGGCCAATTTAGTTTATCACTCTATTGTAGCCCCATCGCGGTTCTGAAGTGGGAAAGAAATAGTACCTATTCAATGGTATATATTAGGTTGGCCCGAAAGTTCTGTCTTTCATTTGTGAAAAATCACAACTTTGCGCTATCTCAACTGATTTACTTTTCTTTATTTTTATTAGAAAGGGTAAGTCTTTTTCTTTCGAATGCTTTTTTGTTGAGCCTTTTTAGGCATTGACTGCAGAGATAAAAGTAGAAAAAGAAGACCATACATTGTTCATTTTATCTTAGGTCGCCAAAAATCGGGAACGGTGCAGAAAAATCCGAAGTCGCCATATATAGACTTTTTGACCTACTCTTTCCAACTGTGAAGATCTTTGAGACTTTGAGACGAAAATCATAAATTTTCAAAGAGACGTCCTGTTTGGACTTCTCTTTAAAAAGTTATGATTTTCGAGAAAAGTGTCAAATTAATTAATTCTGGCGTTTTCTGTAGTAGACTCGATATTCATAACTTCTCTCAGAGATGTCAAAACAAGCCAATTTTTTCACAGCTGGAAAGAGTAGGTCAAATAATCTAAGTACTGGCGATTTCAGATTTTCTTGTACCGTTCCCGATTTTTGGCGACCTAAGTTAAAATGAGCAAAGTTTATATGGTCTTCTTTTTCTATTTTTATCTCTGCAATCAGTGCGTAGCAAAGGCTCAGCAACATAGCATTCGAAAGAGAAAGAATTACGCTTTTTTTTATAAATACAGAGAAGTAAATCCGTTGAGAACCGCACAGTTATGATTTTTTAAAAATGAAACGACAGAACTTTTGGGCCAACCTAATAGATAAGCAACTCCTTTAGGCAAAGTTTTAAGCAAGTTTGTTCTGACCCATCTACCGTATATGCGTCGTAACTATATCCATTTTATGGCTATTTCTTTGCGGCTATCATTCGTGATCAACGTGCAAAATTACCCCACCAAGCCAAGTTTTATCGAATTCTATAATTTTGGCAAGTCTGCCATATCTCTACCGTAATTCCGCTATACAACAGTGCAGTGAAAAATGGCGATATGGTAGTGGTCAGCACATCGCATAACGCCATTGAGCCAATTTTCAATCTATTATGTGACCTTGACTTCACTACCGTATTCTTGCTCTATCCCTTGGTGAAAAATGCCTATCATGTTCGCAGTCAGCACACCGCCCACCAAAATTACTCAAGTTTTAATTTTGATTCCATGACATTTTCCCGTCTACAGTAAGCATACCGTAATCCTGCCTATGGCCTTATAGCGAAAAACGAACATATTCGTGATCAGCGTGCCAAATAACCCCACAATACCAATTTTCACTCAATTTGGTGATTTTCGCCCAACTACCGTATCATTACCGTAACCTCGCTATGTGGGCGAGTGTCCGAAAATAAGCATCGTACTCGTGATAAGCACGTCGGATAACCCCCGGGGCCAGAGTTTTACAAAATTTCATTTTTTTGTGTTCAACACTACCATGATACCATCATGCTTTAACTAAACTCAGAGTTAACTCCGAATTTCGCGAGAGCCTGAAACGCGCATCAAACTCAGAGTTAGCGTTTTGCGTAGAACGAGTTACGCCGTGTTTCCATACTTGGGATAAAATACGTCTAGAGGGGTATCCTGCCAAACCCTCTCCCCAGTTTACTTTGTTTATGCAGGTGTTTATGGTTTCTGAAAGGTGCGTGTTAACTCAGAGTTAACTCTGAGTTTGAGCTGTGCGTTTCGACAGGTTTACTACCGAGCCAGATCTCTAGAGACCACAAGTCAATAACAACAAATCTAATAAAAAAACATAGTTACTACTTACCTACACTATTGCTCGTTAGTGTTGGCCCAGTGAGGTAACAATCTATGGAAAAGAGCGAAAACCTAAGATATTGCAATAATCAATAAACAATAAAACATTATTCGACTGAGATTCATTCTTCGCAGTCATTCTATGGCAATTAGCTAAGCCAATTATCTTTCACGAAAGGACGTTCCTGCATTGAATTCACTAAAAATCATGGCAGCAAATTAGCTAACAAAAAACTTCTTTTTTTTCAATAACTATCTCCTCCGCTGAGTGTAACAGAAAAAAAATCAAGCCACCAAAAACTTGTTTGTTTACACTCGTCCCTCAGTAACTATGAAAGTTTTCTATATTGATTTGCTGTAGCTAAGCTGACATAGTGCATTCTTTTTCATGATGGTGAAGTTTCGGCGTCCTCGCTCGTCGGAGTCTGGAAATCAAAGATCATTCAGTGACACACCTCCTCAGACGCCGCATCTGATTACAGCAACCAACGCAAGAGATCATATGAGATCAAAAGCAGTACGAGAGGAAAGATAAAGCAACTCACACCGTAATACCGCGGTTTCTGGACCCAAAACCACCTGTATGAGAGGAAGTGATTAGCCACTGCGAAGCGCATATTTGAGGCCCGAGGGCCGCCAACGCAGCACGCCAACGCAAACTTACTGAGTTAGATCAAATTTACATAAGGTTTGGTAGGATGCGAGCTCTTGTGTCACAGTTATGTACTCTTTTTTTCTGTTTGATTTTGGACTTTTGCAGTTATGAAAATGCTTCAAGAGTTTTGCAAGCTACAGTTTGCAGTTTGTACGACAAGATCGTGACCTAAATACACATCACAATCACACGTAACATCGCCGTGGCCCCTTTGGCCGTGCGCTTCCAAAGGCTTAGAGGATTTTGACTTCCTGAAGCCATCCAGATGTTCCTTGATCCAAACTGAAAAAGCAACACCAGCATTCAATCATGTAACTAACCCAGTTGCGCTGCAGTCACCATTCTTACAATAGCGGCGTAATGCGCAGTTTGGGTCTAGGCGAAGGCGATCATATTCCCGATTTCGCACTGACCGCCGTTTCAGGTTAGAGGGTGGGATATTCGTGACTCTTATAGATTTTTGCAAACCAGCTTGTCGTAGACATGTTTTATAACAGTTTTCTGTTTTGGCTTTGTCGATAGAACAACCGATAACCCCAAGCTCTCATTTTCTTATTACAGGGAATGCGCAGGCCAAATGTGGAAAAAGGATAACAAAGGAGAAGTAACAATTGTATGCGAAAAGTATTGCAGACCTTCTTGTGGGACTGCAACAGCGCCTATGGGTACAGCTATATTTACGGTAAGTGAGATAATCTTAGCAGAAAACAAATTTCGCAACAACGTCGATTTTTCAGCCATGCAGTTGCCATCATGGGAATTGTCCGTCTGATTTTGATGATTACATAGGTACGAATAACTACTCTATACAACCACTCTCTAAGATAAAATAAGAGACACTTTTTTGTCATGAGAATTTGTTCCAGGAACCATTACGCATACAGACTTCGTTCTTTTCGTGGCTATAAGACATGGCATCTGCGCAAAGAACACGCTTGCATATGCCGCCCGATGCAGTCTACATCCCATTACTCATAGGTACGGGTAAGAACTTAAAAGAAGCATCCGTGAATTCCTACTCAGGCCAATATCTGGATACGTAAACGTATGTCCTGATGCGTTTGATGCTATGCAAAAGAATGAAATGTCAAGATGGTTGTCCACTATTAAGCACGAACTTATACACGCTTTCGTTTTTTCCACATCACACTACAGAAATTTTATCGGTGCAAAGCCTGAAGTGCAGTAAGATCTCAAGTTGAGCAATCAGAATCAGTAATCGAGAAGTGCTTTTGCTAAGGAAAACACCAATTCCAATTGTGCCAGGGGTGATAGAAAAGTTTACCAGAACTGACTGGGAAGTTGCTCAAGGGAATGTGAGTATTCTCATTTACTTAGACTGTATCTTTGTAAAGCTGTCAAAAATTGTTCGTGAAGCAAAGTTGCATAAAATGGAATGTAACATTTACCATAATATCGAATTATAGATCCCTCATGACGTGTACATGATTGTCACTCCGAAAGTCCGACAAGAAGCACGGAATCATTTTGCTTGTCCTACACTTGAAGGGGCTGAGGTAGAGAATCAAGGCGGTAGCGGCACGAGAGGTGCACACTGGGAGAAAAGAGTTTTTGAGGTGAATGAAAATTTGTTACTTTTGTACAAAAAATGTATGCATTTTAGAATGAAGCGATGTCAGGCGTCGCAACACAGGTCTATGCAGTTTCCCGTTTGACATTGGCACTTTTTGAGGACTCTGGATGGTATCAAGTAAACTATGAGTAAGTAGCATATTGTCAAAATATTTGGTTGACTAATTTCTGTTACACTTCCATTTTTATTTCTTAAAAATCCAAGAAACTGCCGAATATTCTTGTGATTGAGGATGTTGACGGGGTGTGAAGTGAGGATGTTGACGGGGTGTGAAGGTCTACTCGGTACTCTCACAATCAAATCCGCATTCCCTGTTCAAAACAACACTTTATCGAAGGGACTACATTTAACGGACAAGAAGTTAGAAAAAGTACAAGGGACCTTTACGAGGCTGTTATTTCACCGTATCTATCCGGGAATTAGCCGAGTAAACCTGCCCAACTAAGAAGAAAGATTGAAAACTCTGTCGCTGCACACTCTATCATTCGGAAGAGAATGATTTGACATTTGCTTTTCGCATATTGAAAAAGGAAACCAGTTTAAGCGCCAGTAAGTACTGGAGGTTCCAACCATGCTTATCTAGAAGAGCTGCGTTTAACTTAGATTATGGAAGGATATTTAGGAAACACCATTCATTAGTTTTCAGTTCTTTTTCTGCCGCACCGCTAGATGGCTTGATCTCTTGCCATACGAGGTTTTCAATTCAGCCGATAGCAAGAGTTTTAGATGCAAACTGCAAAAATCATTGCGACTTGATCGCTTGAGAGTAAAGGGCTAAAGGTTGTTGACTTTGAAGCAGTTGAGCCATGAATCATTTTCAGCCATGCCCGGATGCTCAAGAACAGCGATCTTATAGTCACTTGTCTTGAACAGCTGGGCCCTGCGTCTTTAAGCGTCTCGTCGCCCTGCGTCTCGTCGTCTTTTGAGTGGTCTTGACGCGTTGGCATGTAATGGATATTCTTCTAACCTGACCTATCTAGTATTCATGGTTCGATTGACATTTTCGCTGGGTTTCGGCTGGGTGGTTTTGACAACTAATGGTTGCTACAGTATGGAGCAATCGCCTTCTGCTGTGTTGGACTTGATTTTTGTTCAGTAAAGTTTGATCATGGCTAGACTAACCCATTGCTGCTTGTTTGCACTAACTACACTTTGTTTGTTCCCACTCAGGCAACGGATAGGACCCCTCCGCCGGAGAAATGGCAGGGTCGCGGCGTTTCCTCAGCGGTGGGTCTCCCATTTGTCCGCCGAAGCCCTCCCATTTCTGCTCCGGATACCTCCCATTTTCTGCTCCGGATACCTTCCACTTTCTGCTCCGGAGACCTCCCATTTTCTGCTCCGGATGCCTCCCATTTTCTGCTCCGGATACCTCCCATTTTCTGCTCCGGAGCCCCCCGATTTTGTGCGCCGGAGCCCCCCGATTTTGTGCTCCGCAAGTCTGCCGCGGCATACTGTAATTAGCCCTAATTAAGCTCCAAACCCCAATTTTATCTAAACCCCACCCAAATCAGCCGAATACGACCCCCCCCCGGGTAAGAGTTCAGCGCGACCCTCAACCCCGTTCTTTACTCCCTCCCTCTCACCCCTAGCGTTTGTGGATAGAAGATAGAAGAAAGAACGAAGAGATAAGACATTTAATTCAAATTTGCAAATAAATGCACTACCACAAACCATTTCTTTCCATGTAAGATACTTTATCTACTATGACAGTGGCGTTCTCCTCAAGTTTTGACATTGCCTCTTCGAGCTGGCCCGCTCCACAGAAAATCAGTTCTGATAGAGGACAAGTTCCGAGTACTCGAAGTCGTAGGAAGAAGGCTACAATGAGGAACAGAGAGGCTAGAGTGAAATCGCGTACAATGTGGTAAAAAATACTATCCCACAAATAGAACAACACATCAGATTAATTTAACAGCTGACTGAAGATGCTCTACCTTCTTGGTATATCTCAGGTTGTTATCAGCCGTATACCGACTCAAGCACAGGCATTGATGTTCTCATATAGGGGCCTGCAGGATCGCGAGAGTTGGACGCGCGTACGGCCTTTGCGCCGCGCACGCCTGATATCGCTGGGTCGTAGTCGATTAAGGCTAGATAGGTAAGTTTTTTTTGTTTTTCTTTACATTCTTTTCTTTTCAGACGGTGAGCACATGTTGGTGCGGAGGAGTTTAAGATCTGAATTAAGGTGAGGTGCAGGATTATGCTCAACACGGACTCAATATTGCAGACCTTCCATGCCTGCTGGTTGAGATGTTGGATTTTCTGTCCTGGCTGCCCTGTTACAGCAAACTGTTCTATTTCTACCGTCTATTCTACCTTATCTTGCATATTGCTTGTGATGATGATGATGATGATGACAATGATTATGATTATGATGACGCGCATGATGCAAGATGAGGTAGAACAGACGTTGCAAATAAAACGGAGTTTCGTAACCGGGCAGGCAGGACGAAAAATCGAACATAATCGGACAGCCAGAACAGAAAACTCAACATTCTTCAAAGCAGGGGTGAAAAGTCTACAATATTGGCCCGTATTGAGCATGATCCTGCACCTCACCTTAATCTAGTCTTAAATTCCTCTGCACCAACATATGTTCGCCGCCTGAAAAGTAAGGAAGGCGAGAAATGAGAAGAAAAACAAAAAAATCTCACCTATCCAGCCTAAATCGAGTACGACCCAGTGACATACGACGTGCGCGGCAATGGCCGTACGCACGTCCGACTCTCGCGATCCTGCAGGCCCCTATACACAGATTGAGAAGACTTTTAGAAGTCAGTTGAAAATACATGGCAGTAATTTGTTAACAGAAATCAGCATGACTTTAGAGCTTACCTCTTCGCACTACTATCTTGGAAGCAAATAAAAATGATTGAAAAATTCAACATTGTCACAATTAAAAAGACAAAAACAAGGCAAGAACTTTTGAGATTTGAGCAGAGAATCATGAACAACAGCAAAAGTGGCACTATCCTACCTCACTGTTTTGAATGAATTCCACTAGTATATTGAGTGCCTTCTCGTATTTCAAGACATGATATGCTGTGACGTAAGCAACCAAGACACTTTCTGCGTTGGCCGAAGTCGCAGCAAATGATGACGAGATTCCTAAGTGATTACAATGAAAGTCTCGGACTGAGCAAGAAGAACCAACTTTGCGCCCTTCACAGCCCCTCATTTGGATCTGGAGTAATGAGAGATTTCTCAAAATCTGCATGTTGTCTTTGTCAAGAATTAAAGCTCACTTGTATGCCTAAACCGGACAGATATCCATAAAATCAATAAAACAGAAAAAAGGGAATAGCTTGATTGCCTCGTCGTATTTTTGTCTGACCTTTGAACAAGCCCGCATACATGCCAGCAAACATAAGATTTCAAATCAGCCTAAATACAGGAATGATGAGTGAAACACTATACAAGGAACTAAAAAGGACTCCTAACCTTCAAACCTCTTTTCACACATTCCTGTGCTTTTTGTTGCTTACCCATGTTAAGAATGAGCCCCTTTATTGCTAAGGTTTCTGTAATGCGTATCATGCGAGCATAAAATCAAAGTCAAATTCGGATTACTCAAAATTGTCCTCGCATACTTTAGTCCAAAGCGATATTTCTTTTGTTCGTATGATTTCTGCAATCAGAAGCAAAAGACTCGGATGGAAAAAAAATTTAGTGAGGCTATTACTTAGAAATAGCTCATAAAATACTCACTATCATTTTTTGAACAGGCCCAACTCCTTTGGTGGCAAAGGCTGACTACTTCACTGACCCGGGGGAGTCATCCCTAAAACCGAAACAAATGCTCGATAATGACATGTAAGTGAAATCGCTATCCGCGGTAGAAAAGCACAGACACTTTTGAATAAAATTAAAGTCTAGCACGAAAATAGATATTAGGTAAAAGTACACATCAAGATTTTAAGAAGAAAAAGTCTAAACGCAACCTTCATTGCGAGAAATGCAGGAAAATATGACGAATAGTTCGCCGAATAGTTCGAATAGTTAGCCTTTAAGAACGTCTCAAAATTTCACAGCGTGGCTACGCGCCAAATCGATACGCAGCCTGCTCCGGGGCCCTCCCATTTATGCTCCGGATACCTCCCATTTTCTGCTCCGGATACCTCCCATTTTTTGCTCCGGATACCTCCCATTTTCTGCCCCGGAGGCCTCCCATTTCCGCTCCGGACCCCTCCGATTTTCTCCGGCGCGGCTCTTCCAAATCTGGCGGACTCGCGCCGGGCAAATTTCTCCGGCGCGAGTCCGCCAAATCTGGCAGAGTCGCGCCGGAGAAATGGCGTACCTTTGCAGCAGGGCCGGAGAAGCCTCCCACTTGCCTGCCAGTGATGTCACCGCGACGGACTGCCCATTTGCCCCTCTCTCATTGGTCAACTAGGTCCGGCGCGACTCTGGAAGATTCGTACTGTCCGGCGGAGGGGTCCGGTCGATTGTCTGAGCATCTTCTATGTCTGTACTTATCGAAGAACCGATGAAATTAAAGCTAACTTCAGATGAAATCTTCGGATTCTGGTGTTTCATCATAGTTATACCTTGTCCATACGTTGGGTTGAGTCCGATGCATCCCTTCTGTTTCTACCTGGATTAGCTTGTGAGGCTCGATCAACTCTTTGCACTATGCAATCTTTTCTCCGCTATCGGAGTTTTACTCCTCCCCAGAAACTGGTTGTGCGGAATTTCCATATATACCGCTTTCCTTATTTTCCAGTTTACTTGTACTGAATAGTAAAGAGCACCTTTCCGGGCAGCCAGGGGGCATGGGACAGACTCCATTGGGTCTTTACTCCATTATTTTCGAATATTACTTCATACATAGTCTATACAAGCTTAATTCCCTAGTTTCTTCTAAACCATTTGGTGACTGGACTTGAGCTAACTTATTGGATGTATTTTGTTTTGTTCTTCGTATTTGTTCCTGGTTATGTCCTCGTGTTTTGTTTTGGTTATGGCACGCCTTTTGCGTAATACATAAATATAAACATAAACATTTTCGTCAGCGGGCTGGTACTATTCCAGGTGATCTGGAAGAAACGGAGCAATTTTGAAGATTCTAAGGGACATCTGGAATTTTTTTTTTGGATTTTACAAAAAAAGTGTAACAGAGATTGTCCGCCAACCTAATAATCATAGTGCGATAGGTCAAACAATCAAATCTCAAAAACCCTTTCCTAAGTGGCTTTTTAAACGATTTAAACTGCTTGTGCTCAGATACATGCTATGCAAAAATCTAATTGTTCCCCATCTGTATACCGTCGTGCGAAGCTAACGAAAACATTTAAAGAGGCGTTTGCTTTACAGCAAAGCCGAAGATATGTCTTGGGGCAAAGGCCTTGGTTGTGATTTTGCAAAGAAAAGCTGTTTAACATGGATGAGAAGCCGGCAAGATCCGTATCCGTTTTGTACACAAGAATTTGATATGAGGTCGTGTTCTCTAAGCACACAGCCACGAAAGCGTTTGGACAGTTGATATTTTAGATGTAGCGAGGATCGCAAATCCAAAGTGAGCTGTAACTTGGTGTCGCCAAAATTTGCCAGAATACCGATTGATTACAACTATAACATTCCAAGTCTTTATACTGATGATAACGGTGGAAGAATAGTTGCACTTGGTCAAGAAGAAGTTGCTGATTATTGTCCCTATTATCGAGTAAGTAGGGGGAGTCGTTGTAGTCATGATTACAATAGACAACAAAGAGATTACTTCTTCAAAAGTGCCAAGGTACTTCATAAGTACAATCTCTTACTCTTCAGGTTTTCGGTGAAGTAGCGAAAGAAGCAACAGACACTCGTTGCACTTATGCGGGAAATATGTACTACAACAACTATTCACTAGAAGTAAGTCTTAACAACAAAATATAAATCTAGTGGCGAAGTCTAAATTTGCCTTAAGAGGATGTCCTCAAATATCCTGACTGTTCAACAATAAATAACTCTTCTGTTAATGTCCTTATCGGCTTTCCAGGTATCGTATTGGAGGGTTAATCATACAGTTTCTTGGAACGAGTCACAATGAATCATTGCTACTGCAGTACTACTGCCCAACATCCCCTTGAAGGTAGCAACCTTCAAGGGGATGTTGGGCATTGAGAGACATAGTCCTCAAAAATAAGTTCCAAGCGATTGAAAACTCTTGCACTAGTTTTACTGAAGTCGTTGACGGAATTGAAATCGCCTCACACACTTTCCAGTATACATGGGTCCGAATCGATTAGAAATTCGATCATTCACATAAAACATTCGAATTTGCATTCGAAATTCGATTTCGGAGTCTTCCATTTTCGAATAAAATTCGAAACTCGAATATGAGAAAACGGTATTTCGAATAAATTCTATTTAAATGTTGTATTCGAATATTTACTCGAATTTGTATTGGAGTGGACTTCGTACTCACATTATTCGAGTTTGTTGCAGAGCCATAATCTTTTATTTAACTGGCTTGGCTTGGGGAGGCGGGGCTTTGTGACGTAATCAGGGTTGAGCAAAAGGTCAGGCACAAGTCCTTCGAAAACGACCCCCCCCCTGTGAAAGCCCCTAAATGAAAATGACCCCTACGCTTCACCTCCAAAACCTTAGACTGTGATATTTTGAAGAAGACCAGCCTTTACTAGAGGGTTCTTGTTTTTGGCCGTAGGCCCAACTTTCTGCGATTGCACAACCACACGCAACTTGACGGCAAGTTTTGAACTTGGATAGCTCTCTTTTCAGAGTTATAGTTTTTGGAGGGGTGGAGTGTTTGGCTCCAAATTTTCAATATGGCAAGAAGAGGCTTTGCGCTCAATACTCATACTAAAAAAGGAGCGATTTTTGAACAATTAAAGGCGTAGTAATCCGTAGAGTTGAAGCACTTAATGTAGAAAACGCGCCGGTTTGAAATTTGACAGCACTTCTTACTTCACTATTTGATAGCGATTTGAAGCCTGATTTTTATTATAGGGTTGTAGGGACGTTACTTCGTTATGAGTATAAAAAAGCTGACTATTTTCACTTTTGAAGCCAAGTTAACCATGTTTGAAAATCACGCTTTCTAGACGGAAACACTAGAAAATGCGGTTGGTAATGACTGTAGAGCTTATAGAGGTAATCTGGCATGCTGATTACGGAAATAATACCCATTTCACGCAACAAGCTTGCCTGGCGACCTCACGACATGTGAAGGTAAATGATGAAGACTCGAATTTGGCTGAAATTTCGATTGTGGAAACAATCGAAATTTCAGTGTGCTGTTTACGACCGTCATTCCTGTATTGCTGATTACGATATCCACCGGACTATCGCATTTCTTCTTCACCTTCGTAGTATTCTCCCCAACTGAACGGAATCGATTCTTAATTACGACCCCCCCCTTCAGTCATACCCCCAAGGCGACCCTCCAGGTCGGGCGCGCCTGACCTCACGCTCAACCCTGGACGTAATTGAGACCGCTCTCGCCCGCGACGCACCTGCGCCTCTCTCTCTCGAGTGCTCTCTAATCACTGGCTAGCCTTAATTAGGTCGCGAAGTCGTGCCTTTCCGAAGCCAAGTCTGTTGAATCAAACGTTATCAAGCTTACTTTGTCTGCTTTTTTCCGCAAAACTCGGTATTGCATGTTTTTGCAATCGTGATGACCTTGTCCTGTATAGAAAATCGCATTCCTCCGACTGCGACAGTAAAAAACAGGTGTAGATTTCAGTTGATGCTTTTCCGATTAATGGGATAGTTGAGATACTATTGGCAGCAAATTAGCAAGAAAAAGCTATCAAATTCAGGTTCATGTACTTACTAAATTACTTAGAGACTTAGATGGCCCGTTCTTACGTGACTTCGGGCCTTTGCACAAAGGCTTCCGTTCGTCCGTGTCCCTCGCTTCAGACATTCACGATCTTCTTGGTTGACGTCGGTTGCTGCGTCCACGACTTTCAGGTGCAAAATTGTATCCAGCTAATTTCTCAGCTGGTGCATCCGTTCCACGAACTCTGTTCATCTTTTCGGTAGTCTTCCTCGGCGACGTTTAGCTTCGCAAGGAATCCACTCCGCCGTTCCTAGTGTCCATCTGTCCTCCGTTCTTTTCATAATATAACCGGCTCATCGGTGTTTCGCTTTCGCAACGTATTCCGCCCGGTCACGAAAACGGGACATTTTCCTCATATCCGTACTGCGAACTCCGACTAGATGTTGCTTGTCTCAGGTCTTCTTCAGAAGACTGCGCTCGAGCGCTAAGTGGGTGGTCCGTAAAACTTTCGATGTGGCTGCAGCGTGGGCTCTAGTCTCAGCTGCGTAACAGAGGCGCCGGCAGACGATTGAATCGAACAGGTGAGCACGAAGCTCCGGATTCGTCAGTCAATCGGTGGCTTCCTTCAGAGGCCCGCAGGCGGCCCAGCTGCTCTTCTTCTCCTGGTAAGTTCTTCCCTCAAGTCGTTCTCCATGTTCATCGAACGTCCGACATACACGTAAGAGGAGGCCTCCTTAGTAGGAGTGCCTTCCAGTTCCATTTCCGCATCTTCGCAAAGGGCGTCTTCTAAGTCTGAGTCTTCTTCCGAATGATTCGCAATCCGATCTTCTTTCCCATTTCGTTCAGTTCCTTCAGCATCGTCTCTGCCTCAGTGATACTGCTCGAGAAGAGAATAATGTCGTCCACAAAACGAAGGTTTGACAGGAATCTCCCATCAACTCGTATGCCTCTCTCGTCCCAGTCCAGTGACTTCATCATCCACTGCAAGGTCGCGGTGAACAGCTTCGGCGAAATAGTGTCGCCTTGTCGAACTACTTTCCCAATTGGAATGAACAGGGAGCGATGGAATATCGTTGTTGTACAGTCCTTATAGCAGTCGGCTGGTGTCCTGTCCTCACGTAAGCTAGGTCCACTCCTTAATCGACTATCGCAAACAGATGACGTTGATTTCGACCCTAAAAGATTTCCCGTAATTGACAAAGGTTATGACAGAGGAAGTCGGTACTCTTGGCAAACTTCTATGACCCTCAAAACCGTCTGAATGTAGTCCATGCAACGAAATCCCTTGCGATCCAGCTTGTTTTTGGGGTTGGGCTTCATCCAGTTTTCTAGATATGCGAGCGAGGACAATCTTCGTGAAAAGTTTGTAGAGCACACTCAAAAATTAGAATAAACAGAAAAGAATTTGTGGCTCTCCCAGTGAGGAACAACGGGCGTCGGCAAAGGTGTTGATGAGTGGAGGAAGTTGGTGTAAAAGTTCTCCGCGATAGATTCCATCTTGTATCGGGAAGAAGCCGGAGTTTCGTCTTCGTTCAATAGTGCAGCCAGCGGTAATGATATTCGCAGAGGTCCCTTCGGCACTTCTAAAGACTTCGTCTTTCTTCGGCTGCTTCCAGTATCTTGGCTTGCCTGTACTCCCTGAAATCCGGGTTGATTCGGATCATGCCTCAGAAAGCTTTTTTTCGAGCAATTCCTTGGTGGTCTTCGACATGCGTTCCATGTTCTTCTCAAAAGTCACTAAGGCGCACTCTCTGCAAGCTCGCAATCCTCTAAAAGCCACGTTGGGTTTTCCTTGAAGGGGCCAACTTGATATGAGCTCTTTTACCTGTTACCGTCATAAAGGACTTCATTCCTTCTTGCGACATTGTGGCAGACCTTCTCTTCCAGCTTTCGGCTAAATCGCACCTTCGCCTGAAGGAGGCGGTGATCGGAGCCACTGCAGAAGGATGGAACTAGACATCGAGCAAGCTCCACCTTCGGTTAGTGGGAACGTGGTCGATGTCCGCATGAGTCGCTCCGTTGGGCGACTCCCATGTCCACCGGCGTTCTTTCTTCATGAAAATAGAATTTCCATGAAAGAGTCCTGCGCCGAGTGAAGCCCAGCGAGACGGTTGCCGCTGTCGTTTCGGAACCCATATTTAAACTTCGCGATCCTACATTCCTCTTTTTAGTGGCATCCCGATCTTCGCTTCAAAGTCGCCCCCAAAGAACTTGTAGAGGGACTTCTCGTAGCGGACGACCTGCTTCAGGTCTCCGTCGAATGCATCTTTCTAAGCCGTCAGGTGCTGATGTTGGTGGCAGTTGATAATGCTGATGTTCTTCTGACGTGGAGATCGTAGTCGGAGGATGGCTTGTCGAGATGACAAGATTCCTTTCAAATCGACAAAATGAACGATAGATGGGTGAACGATAAAACCAAAGCCTTCAACGTTTCGTGATGGAACCTTTTCACCACGAAGGATGAGGGCCCATCACCCATCTGTCGCACATCCTTCTTCCTAAGCTTCGTTTCCTGCAGAGCAATGATGTGGTACTTGATGTGCTCCGCAGCGTCGAGAAGAGCATGGAAATCGTTGTTACTGCCTGGCGTTGTAGGTGCAGAGCATGAGGCAGTCTCCATGGCGTGTCGTCCAGGCAGACGTGTCGTTTTTGTTTAATCCAAAAGGTGCCCTAAGAGCCCTGACATCGTTTTTGCCATTGACCGGCGCCGTAGGCGGATCCGACGTTCAAGGTTTATTTCTCTTCTTTTTGCTGATCGAGTAATTAAAATTTTTTCTCTACAAAAGCAGACTTACTAGGCCAACTCTTGATTTCCACGGGGCGATCGCTGACTCGGGTGTAGAGCGGGGCGTACCGAATAGCGATCGGAATCAGACGGCAAAGGATTTAGCCAAGCTCATGTTCCAAGTTCATATACTGAAAATCTGTTCACATGAGTGTTTCTCTTTGCACTGCTCATGCTTCTGATAAACAAAGGTTTACACTAGTGAGCACTCTTGCTTGTGAAACGCATGCTGCACAAGTGCCTCTATTCTTTACCCTTGAGGTTTTTCGCAAATGGGTGTATTCTGAGTAAAGGACATCGGAGCCGTCGTGAAGACGGCTGCTGAATTTTTCAGTTATATGACCTTGCAATAAAGTTTTGTCCGGTAGATGTGCATAATAATTCTGTTATCACAGTGCATCCAAGACTTTCACGGAATCTTGCAGGCACTTTGATACCGGGAGCTATCAGCCTATCAAGTATGGTAAAGGCTAAAGCCGGACGAAAAAGGTTTACATTAAGAAATGCGAGTTTTGATAATAAGAGGCCCCGCATACTTCACCAACAGTCGTACGCGGTTTGCCATTCACAAGATGCTAGCTACGGGCAGGGAGTTGGTACAGGGGGTAAGGGAGGGTGCTGATTATGAATAAACTTTTATTTTGTCGATTTCATCGATTTTTTCAAAAATTTTGAGCTACGAGGTTAGGAGTTGGTACAGGGAGTAAATGAGAGTCTGATTATGAGAAATCTACTTCGATGCTTTTATCAATCTTTGGGAAATTTTGAGCTACGAGGACTGCAATTGGTACAGGGAGTAAATGAGGGTGCTGATTAAAACTGAAATCTATTTTATTGATTTCATCGATTTTCAGAAAATCTTGAGCTAGGAGTGGTATAGATGATATGAGGGTGCTGATTATGAATGGATCGGCTTTAGCCGAATATGTCAGTAAGTTTCAGATCTGGTTGCTCCAGTTGTTTGATGAATTATTCGAATATTTATTCGAAATTCGACTCCCAATGTTCGGATATAATTGACTAGCTGGCTAACCCGGCTCCGCCCGGCCCTGCCATCCTATGATAAAGTTTCATCCCTATCCCTGTACAACCATTCCTTGTGCCCACTTCTACATGCCAGTTCCCTATTCCGCCGTGTTAGTAATCAGTATGCTCACCTCCCCCCCCCCTCCTCTCTGTGCCAATACCCAGTCCGTAGCTCAGACTTCCGTAAAATCATTGAAAGTAAGGATAATTCCAAAAACTAATTTTGTATTCGTAATCAGCATGCTCGATTACCCCCCTGTGCAAACTCTCAGCCCCACAGGTCAGACTTCAAAAAAATCGATGAAATCGATATTGATCGATGACGAAAAGTAGCCTACGACACCCGCCCGGCCATGAAGTGTATGTGTGCCAAGTTTGGTCCGGATCAATTCAGAAACGGAATTTTATATTCGGTACATATGTACAGACAGACAGACAGACAGACGGACAGACAGACAGACAAACTTACATACAAACAGACATTCAGTTTTATATATAAGTATTCGTTCATTCAATTTTGTTGATTTTCCGATTTTATTCGAGATTCATTCATTCGAGAATTTCTAAACCTCGAATTTATTTGATATTTGTTTATTCGAGATTTTTCTTTTCCGAATTTATTCGATATTCATTCATTCGATGAAAAAATCAGGATTTATCCAAGTATACTTTTCAATAGTGCCTTTCCAAAAGTTTTTACAGCTATCCGTGACTACCTCGTTTGGAAGCTTCGCCTTCAAGTTGAATCTTTGAAACATCTTAGAAAAGTGCTTCACAAGTTTTGATGGTTCCTAGGAGAAGACCATCCCACATCGAAAATGTCAAAGACCATCTCAATCCTAATGCTCCGGCATACTTCACGCGATTTCAGTCGTCATGCGATCCGCAGTTGCCAGATGTCTTCACTTTTAACACGAGTCATCCGCAGTATAGCGCGTGTAACTTCCAAATTGATGAAATGCCGTATCTTCCGTGCATTCAGCGTGTACTTACGTTGAGTATAAATGAATAGTGAACCAATAATCTAAATTTGCTATTAGGAAAAGCGTTCCTTCGGGACTCGCCGCGGTTTTCCGCTATTGGAAGATTTTTGTACTGAGCTAACGATTCTTTATTTATTATATTGAGGTGTTGCCAAATCGCATCGCGATTGAAATCTGCGAAGTATGCCAGCGACCTGACGGAAAGCGCTAATTTGCCTTTACTGCAAACATTAGTTCAAGCTAGTTCTTAGGAGCTGGAGACCTTAAAAGCCGTAAGTAACATAGAGGCAAAAGAGCTGTTTTTGAGATACTACATCAAATTGTAGTGAAGATCAAATGAATTAACTTACGCAAAAATTGCAGTACGTTTGGAGCATTGGTTTTAGAATTTTTGCTTTGGTCTAAAATACAAGAATATTTCACGGAGCTCCCTGTTCAGATCTTTTCTCGTTCTGCTCGTTGTTTTTCGCTTGATGGAGGAATCAAAGTCAGCAAAAAATTGAAGAAAACCACTTACAATCATAAAGTTGGTTGCTATGAGGTGAGATTCACTGCTTCTCATTGTAAGAGTTTGATTTTTTGCGAGGAAGAAGTTAATAGTGTACATTCTCAGACTGTTTGCAAAGAGGATCGTTTATACGTAAAAATGCAAAGTTCAAAGTTTTATCCTTGTTACTATGCTGGCCAATTTATACATGTGGAAAAGGTATAAAATTCGTAACACTTATTGTCAAGTACATTTCTCAAATCTGTGCCATTCAGCGTATCCCGAAGCTCGGTAAAGTGACTACTAGAATAATTTGTCCACCTTGTAAAGACATTTGTGGTGAAAAATGTGCACCTGACAAGAAACATAATGAAAAAATCGGAGACTATAGAAAGATTTCAACAAGCTTAGCCATCTTTTTTAGCTTCATAGTGCTACTGATGTTTTTTTTATAGCGATCAAGTGTTGGGAATAAAGGGCGAGGCTGACATCGCCTTATTTATAGCAAGTGATAGCCCAGCACTTGATCAGCATCGTAAAACTTATTACAGAGACACAATTCTCTTTCTATTTTTACGATTATTATCAGAAATAAAGTTCTTAAATAATTGCAGTATCCATGTCTTAAAAGGCTCCAATTCACGATTAGATGATTAATTGATCGAAATCGAATTCTTCCCTGAGCGCAGCTCGATGCTCTGCCGTGCTTCACAAATTAGTTGTTTTTTCTACCTTTTTTCAAATAAGAGGGGTCGAAGTTTGTTCGCAAAATTTTTTGGCTTAGTTGAAGTCTTTTAAAGAAAGAACTAGTGAATCTTGTTTGATAAACTTGAGGTAATTTTGGGAGTTTTTGCGTTTGCCTCAAGGTACTATTTTTTCACGATTTAAAGGATGCTCATTACGGTTACCTTCAAGGAAATGTTGCGGGTTTTATCGTGCCCAAATCTTTTTCTGCGTATTTTCTTCGCGCAACGTGATCTGGGTGTCAGTGTTTTGTAGCTAAAAAAATCCCATATACAATCGAGTGTGGTGCTTAGTAAATGTCTTGAGAGCTGCCTACTACATGTCCTGAGAGCTGACTACAAGTACATGTCTTAAGAGCTGACTACAAATACATGTCTTGAGAGCTGACTACAAATACAATGCGTTATTTTCAACTTCGCCCTTGGATTATAACAAGTTAAGGCAAATTTGATATTAAAAAAAATTCTCAGGTGACCTGCCTTAAGCGCAGGCCGACCAAACGCTTCACTTGCTCACGTTTCTTGCTCGCGACATCATTGATGTTCTTTTGATTACCAGTGGATGCGTAAGACCCAGGTACGGAGATTTCCAGTCCACTCATGTCTGCCCGTATATGCTGGAGCAAAATAATAGCAATTTTTAATCTAAATTTTGCAATTTTTTAATTGTTGCTGGTGGTCTTTGCGCAACATTAGAGAAAAAAATTGGTTTCCATTCAATTGCCATTGCTTTTTGCCTGTGATACGCGCGACAAATTTCTTTTTTTTAATTCGAATCACTCTTCAATCTTGTATAGACCGCTAGTGGCTGAACTTATTACGTAAGTTTACACACATTTGCACACATCAGCCTGATACTATTAGGTTGGTGCAAAAGTAATGCGCGTTTTGCGAGTTCTCACTTTGACGTTCAAACCGGTTCAAACAAAGAAGATTTGTGAAAAGGAAAAAATAATATTCAAAAGTATCCGCTTTTTCCGACATTTTTTCGTAGCCCTCAAAATTCCAAAATATGGATATTTTTGATTTTCTGTGTACTGGACAGCTTTCACATTTCTACAAAAACTGTCAACAGGAGGCCCACCCTTATGCTTACAGAAATGAGCAAGACTTTGGCGATTGCTTTCTTCAAAGGAAATCTATGGGTCACAGAATGGTCAAAACCATCACTCATGTAGAGGCGCCGAAATCTCAGTCTAGATAATTTCTGAGAAAACAGTAAAGCATGCATAACGTGAAAAATTTCTACTACACATGGTAGTTAAATTTTTAAGGAATGCGTTTACTCGCGCTCAAATTCTGGCCAAAAAAGTATGTGCAGTGAAATTCTGGTTCTGAGTGCGATTGTATGAAGCTTCATAACTTTTTAATGAATGAGGCTAGAAGCTTCTTAATAGTACGCTGGTTTCGTAAGAGAAACTCCGATGGAGAAAAGTTATCTTGAAACAAGGACTAGAAAAACGTGCATTACTTTTGCACCAACCTAATAGTAATTGGTCAGTGACTGTTTTCCCGAAACAAACTTATTGCTCAAAATTTTCTACTATCAATTTCTTGCGTCTCATGCTTTTTACATTTTATTGCTTGCTTGTTCTGCATTAAAAAAATTCGTGTTTGTCAATGTCTCAAATTGTTATGATTTCCGATTTTTTGACTTTTCGATTGTTATTAAAATAAAATCTCTGATATTTATGCTAGAAAACATTCAATATATCTTAGAATTTCCCAAAATTTCCCTTTGTTAACGTAGAACTTGTGCATCGACTCAAGAAATTTTGAAATGATGGGAGTTTCGAGCTATTTCGCTTCACTTTGTCGTATTTATGGAGTAAAAGCGCTTGAAGGGCCGGGCATACTGCAGGCGATTTCAGTCGCGACGCGATTTACACTATTTCAACTGTTCAAACTCACTGAAAGCATATTTTATGTACAGAAGATAGGGCATTTCATCAATCTACGTAAGTTATATGCACTATGCATGTGCAGTTTGCTGGTGTTCAATCTGAAGACTTTTGGCGAATTGCCAAATCGCGTGAAGTATGTCAGGCCCTGAATGCCTCGGTTGTAATGATCGCGATTTCGTTGCCTCACAATTTTCCTAACAAGACAGCTTATCAGTCTATCGCAAGCCGATCATCTTGCTTTTTATGGTGATAGTTTCCGACCAGACAAATGCGACTCAATAAGACAGTTGAAATGCAAGAAGATCGGCTGCAATGTTGTTACAGTTGTCTTGTCGGGGAGTTCGCGAGGTGAGAAATCCCAAGCACTATGCGCGAGGCTTGGAGTGTTGGTGAAAATATTTGCTGCGCTTCAAAATCCACTACAATATTATGAAGACATTTCTGTATAGCTCAAGAGAGATTACTAAGTTGTTTTGAGCTTGATAGAGGACTACTTCCATTTTTTAAGCAAGTTCAAAAATGACGCTTTTTATTATGTGGGTAGAGAAATAGAAATCCTATTGAGCGGCTAGTAGATGTGAGTGAAGTGCACAGTTTTATTTGGCATGCGATCACGAAAATTAAATATTTTAACTCGTTGTTGGTAGTGCCGCGCAGTGCTGTGCCGCATCCCATATCAATTGTAATGTACCAGAAGTTCTGATTTTGTTCATATAATCAATTTGGGCTCAGAGTTGTCCGCCGATCTTTTGGCAGACTCTGCCTATTCCGCTTTCAAGAAAAAGACTTTTTCCGAGCTCAAAGCGCATATAAGAAGCCACAGATGATCGCGAAATCTCAAGCGACATGTGCTTTTGATAAAGTTTGCCCAAGCATATAGTAAATGCACGTTATAAGAGCGGGATTTCGCAAATTTGCTGTTTTCGATGTTACCTAGTCCTTTTCAACACAATGTTTTTAGTCGTAACGATGACCATTTAGTTAGAGTTCAGGTTTGAGGCTATAACGGTTGTCGGCCTAATGCTTCTTACATCCCTCAATAAAAGCGTTTTTCTCATTTTTTAGTCATAATCTTTTTCTTAGCTCGGGTACGACTGCTCTGCTTCAATTTGCCGTGCAATTTAGGCACTCCTGGCCCTAGTTGTGACTTTGTTAATAAGCAAGGTGCGGAATGTGCTGCTAAAGAATGTCAGGTGAACAACACGTTGTGCGCCAGCTCAGCAATGATGACGCAGCGTCACGCAAGGCTCTTGTTCCAAAATCTGAAAGATCAAATGCGGGAAAGAAACGCTTTGAAACCAACCTAGAGTTTAAAACTTCGTGCATTTGATACTCTATGACAGTTGTACTTGAGCGCTTTTGAGTTTTTAAGAATAAAAGAAAGTAAAGAAGGATTTGAAACTTAGGCCCGTATGCACGTACATCCCCGCTGGGGAGGAAAGGGGAAGTATATAAGGTTCCCAGGGGATCACCAGGAAATCACAAAATGACAAAAAACCAATCTTGTATGGCAGTAACCTGGCATCAATTATGCGCAGGTACTAGGGTATGAGAACCTTTATGAGCAAGATAGAGAAAGAAGAAAAAAGATACCTAGAGTAGCGAGATATGACGCATCCCTCTCAAATCCCCTCCCCTCCCCAGTGAGGATCTACGAGCATACGGGCCTAATACATTGTCGTTTTTGCGAGACAGTTAATATTAAAAATGACCAAGTAGTTTCTGCAAAACAAAGATTCCTTTAATATTGGAATAGGCAGCAACAATTACGGAACTTGAATCCTGTAGTTAACACAAGCGCAGATGAAACGAAAACATCATTGGGGGTAAAGGCCACATATACCGCGTCGCGGAAATTGATAAAGTCTATAAACAAATTACAAGCAAGTATCTTCTCGCAGTTTAGGCTTCTCTCGATCTATGTATTTCCTTCATGTAATTTTTTCGCATTTAGTCAGGATAAGATAAATTCAAAACCTCAGATCATCCCAACTGCTGGCGATGATTTCACAGCGGTGCTCGTCAAAATCATAACAAGTTTTGATCCATAAAAAGAACAAAGGGAAGCAGTGGAAACTCCAAATGCTTTCGATTGCTCTCGTCCCCAGATTGAACTTTGAACAATAAAGAGTATTAGTCGGCTACAAAATGTACCAATAGGAATGCAATCGCCTTTTTAGGAACGTCTAACTAGCACTGAAATAAGGTATCCTTTTCGTTCTTTACTTTACGCGTTAGTGTTTCCATTAGTAAGCCCCAATATTATCCTATGTGCACACGGCATTAGTGTAATCTTTGAACTTTTCGATAGCGTATCAGCATAACAGAATATTTTTTGAATTTTTTTTTATAGCAAATGTAATTGTCCGGCCTTCGTTAAAACTTCTGCTGCAAGAGTTCTGATTTACTCTGATTTTCATAAATTTGGCGCATTTTACAGATACAGTGTATTATATTAAAAAAAGAGTGCCGTTCTTTATGGAGAAGTAACAAAACGAACTCAAAAGGAGTTCTGTGAAGGTTAACAATCGATAGAGCAAGACAAGCTCAATAAATCGAAATCCAAACATTAGCATCTTATAATCAACGCAAAGTTTGAAAGGTTTATGACACCTGAAAACGAATTTTCGTACTAAAAAGTTCTGGAAATCTCTTACTTGCATTTGTGTGAAGCGAACACACGCACTCTCCCATTTATACACTTGCCGTATTTTTCTTTTTTATGGTAAGAAATTGAAAAAAAGAAAAACGGAATACGGCAAATCCCCATATATACTTACTTAGATACTTAGATTGCCCGCCTTTACCTGGCGTGCGGGCCCCAGCACAAGAGTTC